AGTCATTACCAAATTCCTTTTATGAAGCTACAGTCACTCTGATACCAAAACCACACAAAGACTCTACCAGGAAAGAGAATTACAGGCCAATCTCACTCATGAACATTGGCTTAGGATTTAAATCACAGTGCACTACTCCCCTTTTCCCAGCCCACCTCCTGCTGGTCCTCTTACTTTTCCCAAATAGTGGCCTTCCTACTTTCTTATCTTTTTTAATGTGTGGGTTCTTCCAGTGACAGAAAACCTGATTCATGCCTTTCTGAGTCTGGTTTATTTAGCTTAACATGGTAATCCCTAATTCTTCATCCATTTTCTTGAAAATAACATGATTTCATTCTTTATGCCTGGCTAAACTTTACATATATAGTTTCTTCTACTTAACCTATTAATGGGTGCCTAGGCTAATTTTATATATTTTGCCTATCGCAAATGATGCAATAGTAAACATGGGTATTCAGGCATTTCTTTTATATTGCCTTTGATTCCTTCAGATGGCAACCTAGTAGTTTTATGACTGAACCAGGAAGCTCTGTTTCAGGATTTTGAGGAAACTCGATACTGAATTTCATAGTTTCTGGACGATTTATATTCTGGCCAGCACTGTTTACAATTTGCTTTTTACTATACGCCCTTGCCAGCATCGACTGTTTTTGATTTCTTGATTGTAGCCACTCTGCCTGGGCTGAGATGGAATCTCAGTGTGCTCTTTAATGGCGTTTTCCTGATGGCTAAGAATGTTGAATACTTTCTTGTGCATTTACCAACCATTTGTAGCTATTTTTCTCTCTAAAAAGAGTATCTTGTGCATCCCAGCTTATGTGGTGCAGGAGAGTAAGGCCAGGGCTTCCTGAGTGCTGGAGAAGCCCTCTGCCGACTGACTGCATCCCGACCCCCCATTTGTTCTTTTTGAGAAGTGTGCATTCGGTTCAGTTTCCCTTTTACTCATCACATTACTTGTTCTTTTGACATGGATTTTTTTTTAGTTCTCCATATATTCCAGATACTAATTCTCTGTCAGAAAAATAGCTAGCTGGTAATATTTTCTTTGATTTTTTTTCTTTTTTTTTTCTTGCTGCAATTCTTTATTTATTTATTTTTTCTTGGAAAAAAATTTCTGCCTCCTCCCATCCTCCCATATCCCTCCCCTTCCTCCCACTCCACTCCCCTCCCCCAACTCCCTTCCCCCTCCCTCTCCAGACCAAAGAGCAGTCAGGTGGAAAGTTCAAGGTCCTCCCCCCTCCATCTAGGTCTAGGAAAATGAGCATCCAAACTGGCTAGGCTCCCACATACTATCTCTTCATTCTGGTATTTTCTTTCTTAGCTCTGCAGAAGCTATGAAATCGACTTCAATCCCCTTTGCCAGTTCTGGCTATTATTTGTGAAGCTGTTGGGTCGCCATTCAGAAAGTAATTGTATGCTTGTACATCTTACAGTGTTGCTTCTTTCGTAGTTTCGGGACTTATCATTAAGGGCTTTGATTCGTTCTGAGTTTATTTTTAAAGGGCGTTGAGGGACTCAGACAGGCCCTATTGTCTTCTATTTGTTTTCCTCATTCCATCCTGATCACTGTCATGTTTTATAGCCTAGGTTGCATGGTGGTCTAAGTCATTCAGGTTCAGCAGATCACCTCATACCACGGCACCCAGTAACTCACTAAAGCCTTTTACTTCCCTAAGTTCCCTGAAGGAGTAGCTGTGAACACAGTCCTTTCCAGCCTGGTAACTGAGCACCAAAACCCTGCCCCTCACATACATGCCCGACTCTCTCTAATTCTATCTTTTCTATGTGTTACATCTATAGGCACCTGTGGTGGTTTGAAAGAAAATGGCCCCCAAAGGGAGTCCATTTAGACTCTCTTAGGAGGTGTGGCCTTGTTGGAGCAAGTATGTCATGGTGAGGGTGGACTTTGAGGGTTTTTTTTCCTAAACTTGCCTCGGTGTGACAGTCAGTTGACTTCCTGTTGCCTTTGAGTCAAGATGTAGGACTCTCAGCTCCAGCACCACAGCTGCCTGCAGGCCACCATGCTCCCCACCATGAATACAATGGATTGAATGTCTAAAACTGTAAGCCACCTCATTAAATGTTTTCCTTTATAGGAGTTGCTGTGGTCATGGGGTCTCTCTACAGCAATAAAAAACCCAAACTAAGACAGTACCTGAGCCAGTGATAACCAAGCATCCTTAAGGACTCTTATGAACGGGCCTGTCAGAAAAGGATAATGATTTCTCTCACATTACGTGGCCTTTTGTCTCAAGCGAGGAGGAATAATTACATTGCTCGGTCTCTGCTTCCACAGCACTCAGACTGATCCTACTTCCCCCTTGTCTTAAAGCTTCTTCATCAGACAAAGAAGTTCTCATTTCTTGTGTAGAAGTCTTTCCCATTCACACAAAGGCAAAACATTTCCTGATTGTCATAGTCTTGTTACTGGGCCGTTAGTTAGGCTCCATCTGCATGCTGAATTGTGGACTTTTCCTTCTTTTGTTTTAGAGGTCAGACACTCTCTTCCTCTGCACTATCTAGTTCTTCCAATGAGCCCCAGTTCTTTGGCTCCCAGGAAAAAACCCTTCGCACAGATCTAATTTTATTCTCTTCCCCATGCACCCTGCACTCTAAGAAATGGCAAACCTCTGAGAGCGGTGGTCTGGGTCTGTGATCTAAGAACTTGTGAGGTGGAGGTGGGAGGATCAGAAGTTCAAGGTCATGCTTAATTATGGATTGACTTTAAGGCCAACCGAAGCTACGTACTATATGAAACGAAAAATTGCCAGCTGTCTTAGTTAGGGTTTCTATTGCTGTGAAGAGACACTATGACCACAGCAACTCTAATAAAGGAAAAATTCTAACTGGGTGGCTTACAGTTCAGAGGTTTAGTCCCTTATCATCATGGAGGAACATGGTGGTGTGCAGGTAGGCATGGTGCTGGAGGAGAAGCCAAGAGCTAATACATCTTTCTTCGCAGGGAGCAGGAAGTGCTCTGAAACACTGGACAGTATCATGAGCATATATGAGACCTCCAAGCCGCCCCCACAGTGACACACTCCCTCCAACAAGGCCACACCTGCTCCAGCAAAGCCACATCTCTTAATAGTGTCATTCCATATGAGCTTATGGGGCCAATGACATTCACACTACCACACCAGCTAACACATATACCTTCCTCCCCTCCCCCTCAGGCAAACTCTTTCTAGGAAGACAGCTGAACTTCAGTTGCATGGTTTATTACCCACAACAAAGGCTGCTAAATGCTGCCACAGCCTGCTTGTGATCCCATCCCTGATATTTTGGGGGATTGCAATATCTTTCCTATCCCCTCAGTCATTTGGGGGTTATCCACTGATTGACATTGTGGGTTCCATTCATTATAGGTACATGCTACTCCTTACGACATGGCCACTATGGCATTTCTCCCAATGACACTCCACCCTTAAATACTCAGCCTCAGTCGTGAGTCCTTTGGCCATTGTGAGGAGCATTCAACTGCCCCTACACGAAGAACCACATCATCCTATACCACATGAGATAAGGTAGCCATACTGGAAAGAAACCACTGATCACGCTGCTTTCAGACAGATGAGCTGTAGTTACAAGTCTTAGTCCTAATGATGGTAGCTATTCAACAGATCTTCCCTATTTGGATGCCAATTGTTCTGTTGGGTTTTCTGCTTTGTTTTGTTTTTCTGAGATGGTGTACACAAATATGTAGTTATCACACAGGAATCGTTCTCCCTTTATGTATTTTCAGAGTGACTGGGCTTATTTACATTCCCACCAATAGTGTATTGTTTCTTTATCCCTACATCCTCACCGACATTTGTTATTTTTTTATTCCTTGATGATAGGCATTCAGAATGGGGTTTGGATAGACTCTCAATGTAATATACATTTTCATGCCTATGTTGAGACTCAGATGTCTGTAGCTATACAAATTTGTGCCTTGGTCTTAATTTTATACTGCTGAACTATGGGCCTACTTTATGGCAATATAATGCTGTTTTTGTTATCATGGCACTAGCATAGTTTAAAATCCAATTTTGTAATACCTCCAGCATAACTTTTTTGCTCCAGATTGCTTTGACCTTTCAGGATCTATCATGCTTCCGTGCAGATTTTGCAATAGTTTTCTCCTAGCTCTGTAAAGAATGACATTAGAATCTCAAGGGGATCATGTTAAATCTGTAGATTGATTTTAGTAGTATAGGCTTTTAAACAATATTAATTCTGCTGATTTTTTGTTGTTTTTTTTTTGGAGGTGGGGTTTCTCTGTAGCTTTGGAGACTGTCCTGGAACTAGCTCTTATAGACCAGGCTGGCTTTGAACACACAGAGATCTACCTGCCTCTGTCTCCTGAGTGCTGGGATTAAAGGCATGCTCAACCACTACCCGGCTCAAAATTGTTTTTTTTTTATTATTTTTTTTTTTATTTTTCGAGACAGGGTTTCTCCCTAGCTTTTGGTTCCCGTCCTGGAACTGGCTCTTGTAGACCAGGCTGGCCTCGAACTTACAGAGATCTGCCTGCCTCTGCCTCCAGAGTGCTGGGATTAAAGGCATGTGCCACCACCGTCCGGCACGAAATTGTTTTCTTGATGTAATTATTGGCAGTATAGAAAAGAGAAGGTGTAGGGAGAGGGTCATAGGAATCTATTTTATTCATGTTTGAAATTAGCGAAAAATGAGCTTAATTGATTTTTAAAATGTAAAAAAGTTAAAACCATTCTTAAAACTTTAATGAATTTTCTTTATTTTCATTATTACAGAAGGAAGAACTAGCAATTGCAGCAATAGAAAATGAATTTATGCTTATGCTGTGGAGAAATTTTTTTCTCAAACAAAAACCTACTTTTGAATAATGACATGAATTTACACTTATTTAATTATTGTTCTAGTTTACAAAATCAAAATTATTTTAGCATGCAGTGAGTTGAAGTACCCAATAAGATTAGGGTAATGAAATTTTATTTCCACTTGTCCCTCAGTTTGGGTTTTCTTTATTGATTCCATTTCCATTTTCATGTCTTGAGCAGTTTTCTTTATTTCATTCCACTGTATATATATTTTCATAGACTTCATTAATAGATTTATTCATATCCTCCTTAAGGTCATTGAGCATATTCATAATAGCTCCTTTGAAGTCCTTGTCTTGTATTTCAGCTACATTGCATCTGTCAGGGCCTACTGTGGTGTGGGGTTGTTGAGCTCTAGTGGAGACATAGTGTCTGCTATTGATTGTGTTTTTACACTGGTGTCTAGGCATCTGGGTTTGTGATTATCATAATTTTAGATGCTGATGTCTGGTCTTGGGTTTGTTGGGTGCATGTCTTGTTCCTTGGTTTCTGTTGCCCTCTCTGGTTCTTCGGAATGTGTGGCTGTTGTGGGTTGCCTGGCAGGGAACGCTTCTGAGATTCTGCCAGGTGTTGCCCCTGGAGTTTCTGGGTAGTGTGTGTTTCTAGGTATTGGGAACTTGCCACTCAGGAATGGGGATGGGGTAGGAGGGGGAAACTAAGGGGGTTCACAGGAGGGAGGAAAGCTGGGTGTGTTGCCAGGATCTGCTGGGGACCCCTGGGAATGAAGCAGGGAGGAGAGACCACAGCAGGTGATGTTCTCCAAAACGGGGAGCGGGGATAGGAATTGGAGGAGAGGAAGAAGAATGAAGGTTGCTTACCTGATTCCCTGGCTGGTGTGGACTGCAGGTTCCCAAGAACAGAATAATGTCATGGGTAGTTTTAAAATGATAGGTTTTAAAGTAGTTCAGGTCTGAAGACATTATAATCTCATTATAGTCACATTTGTAACCTATCAAGTAGGTTAGCAAGATGAACAGAAACTAAGAGGTTATATAAATCCCCTCTTGAGTCTTGATTAATGCAACTATTTAAGACATGAATCACCCATATAAACAAATACAAATTAATACTCCATATCCTTCTCTGATGGAAGGATTTCAAGTGAGCAGGGGTCAGTATTTTATTGAGGAAATCAGTGGAAGTATCTGAAAGAAGCTAAGTTTCCTTTCGCAATAGAAAACTACTCACATTGCTGTTCCCAACTAGAATCAGTGGAGGTATCTGAAAGAAGCTAAGTTTCCTTTCACAATAGATAACTACTCACATTGGTGTTCCCAACTAGAATGATTCTTACACAATAAACAACTTGCTTCATTTACAATGTAGTCTTTGTACTTTCCAAAGGAAAGACCCCTGGTTTAAAAAGATAAATAAATAAATAAATAAATAAATAAATAAATAAATAAATAAATAAATAAATAAGAACATTCTAGGTACCATCAGATCCCGGTTTGATCCAAGGACAGGCAGCAAGAGGATACCTGGTAACATTCAAAATGCGGCATCTCACTGGTAAATTTACCTAGTAAGTCTAAATTGGCTTCGTAGGAAAAGTTCTTTCTGGTGTCTGCCTCTGTTAAGTCTTAGGGAGAATTTCCAGAAGATCCTCCTCTTCGGAACGGAAATGCAATTTCATATGTGTTTTCCATTTTCTGCAGTGACATGTCTTGTTTGTACTCAGTTGAGAGTTGTTAGAAATAAAAATCAAGTACCTAATCTGCTTCACCTCACCACTACAAGTGAGAGCTGCATTTTTATTGCTGGTGAGTACTTCTTTATAGCTTTCTATTGGAAATGTAATACACTGTCTTTTCATTAGAACCATTTAGTATATATTAACTTCTACCATATAACTTTCGATTTCAGGGTAGCTGTATTTTGACATCATTATGACTGTAAAATATTTTAATAACCAGTATTTGATTTATGAAATAGATTAGTTCTGTATTACTGCTGGTAGGAAGTGGTTTCATGGCTCATTGGAAAATTACATTTGTGTCATTCGATAAACTTCGATTACTACTTTATATAGAAAATAGAAATATTGCTTGTTACATTGAAGACTGTTAGGCTCAGTACCACATGATTTTCACACTTGGTCTTAGCCAAAAGAACAAAGTGTTCAGTTAACATTATTTTTATACTGTACCAAATAAAAATGTGGGTCAAAATTTGACTCCAAATCTCACATTTAACTTATATAACTAAATAAGCCTCATTGTTTGTCTACAAATATATTGAACCCTCTATATATGTGGGTTACACATCCTTAAACTCAGACAACATCATATCACAAGTATTTAGGGGAAATATATAAGTGTGTATGTATGCTAAAATGTACAAACTTCATTTTTGTCATTATTTCTTGATCAGAAGGCTACCATGCTGATAATTAAGGAGTTTGTCAAGAGTTTTATGAAATGTATAGCATATGTCTTTATCAATATTCTGTAAATATTGACAGTGTCTAATATAAATGTGACATTTTAAAGTCCGCCTTAGAACATGAATTTAAACCCCAAACTATGTCCATATGTATTTTAATTCTGAGATTACACTATACTATCAAGTTAATAAGTTATCAAAAGACAGCTTTTCAGAAGATGCCAACCATTTAGAATGAAGTTGGGTTTTCCCCCTTGTGATTTTTATTATCACATAGACAGTTTGGGTTTTAAATCCGGTTGAGCTCTGATATGTCTGATTTTCTTAGGATGTATTTACTGACATTGGATAATTATATGCAACATACTAGATAAGTAAAATTGCTATATTATGCATAGTAAAATTGATTTTTTATATAAAATGAGAGACTTTTGATGATAATTCTTTTCACAAAAACTCTGCCCAATGTATTTCAGTGACCTCTTTATTTATCTTTTAAATAATATTTGTTTATTTGCATTTCTCCCTTCTTGCAAACAGGTCACAGAGGCCAACCGTATGCATATGATAGCAAGGTAAAAAAGTGTATGCAGTGGATTAAAACAAAGACTGATTCAGCAGTAAAGAACACTGCTTTTGGTGGCTATTACCCTTATCCACCTGTTCCAGAGACATTTGCCAAGTACAGTCGCTTGATTAGAGGTATTGTTATAATTGTCAGTTCCTTTATTTAACTTTACAAGTTTAATATATGTTATTTCTATTAGTCATGTATATTCCCTTTGCTTACAGGAGTGAGCCTATGTGGACCATACCTTAGTGACAATAATGTTGTCCAAATATAGATACAAAATATATGTTATGTCTCCTAAAGGTTAATGTTTTTATTTTATTAGACTAAAAAACCAGAGAGAGAATGTAGAAGATGGAAGACTAACTTGGGGATGATATCTTGATTTAATATCGTGGAGATCACCTCCAATGATTTAATGTCATTAAGATCAGCTCTGACATTGGAAATCTTATTGTATTAAATTACATAGGAAGAACGTTGTTATCTGAATGAGGTGCTACAAATCTGATATCCAGATCTTGATGGCTATGTGATGTTTCTCTTGTATATAGCACGATTGAGTGTTGATTTTAAATAAAAAGTAATACTAGAGTAAATGTGGTATTGAATTTGGAATTGGATTCGTGGTGAGAAGATTAACATTAATTTTCTTTTAAGCAGAATTGATATTGGGCAGTCAAAAGTTTAAGATATGTGTGTTCATTTTTAAAGCTGGAGATAATTGCATTTTTGGGAGACAATAAACATTCAAATGCTGAGCTATCATCTATGTGTTGCTATCCTCTTGGGTGTCCTATGTTAGTAATATGTTATATATGATTGAAATCATGAAAGTGTGTTTTCTGGGCAGTGAATAACCAATAATATATAGTTTGAAATACGATCTCTATTTTTTACATTTTGTTTTTATTTTTTATTATTTTATTACTTTAAAAAATACCAATCCAAATTCACAGTCCCTCCCCTCCTCCCACTCCCTTCCCTCCTCCCACTCCTTCCTTTCCTCCCACTCCCTCCCCTCCTCCCACTCCCTTCCCCTCCTCCCACTCCTTCCTTTCCTCCCACTCCCTCCACACACCTTCCCACCCCCTCCAATCCTAAGAGAGTACAAGGCACCCTGCCCTGTGGCAAGTCCAAGCAAGGCCTATAATATAGGTCCAAGGTCTATAAATTATCATAATTTATAATAATCAGTATGTATAGTTTCTGTTACAATAAAGACCAGACTAGAAACCCATATCACAATTGGAATGATAACATGTATTTTGCCTATTTTTATGAAAATTACTTAAGAGGATACCAAATATAAACACAAAGTCTCACAAAATTAAGTTCATATGGCAGGTTCACATTGTAAAACTACATCACAAATCTAATTTGAATTTTTTAATTGCTTTAAATCATATTTTCCCTTTCAAACTTACCTTGTTCTGGGACTTGTTCTCTTGCAGCTGAGTTGCTCTTGACAGCTATAAGCGAAGTGAAGAAGGTGACCGAAGTCTTGCAGTACAGGGAGCAGAGGCGCATTGCAATTCAGGGGATAATCGCTGCTATAAAGTACATCCCCCACAACCACTCATCTGAGAGTGCCCCAGCATCAGAAGCACTTCGGGTATGGTGCCAGAGGATTCCCAGTACATCTCTGACAACACAATGGTCATAATGGCCATTGATACTTTTATGTATTAACTCTTAATCTGAGAGAAAAATATTTGAATTTTGTTCCTATTTCATGTCCTTTTTCTGTCATTTTGGGGCAAGGGACAAGCCTCTGCATTCTTAAGGCATAAGATCCTGCCTTTGATATCTAAATAATTCAAGTCTGCTATGGATGTCTTTATTGGCTAGATGGAATATATGAGTAATTGTTATGCTAACTTCTTTTAGGCTAAGCAGCAGGAAAACTTCCATGAGGAATATTTTACTTCTTTATCTGTAATGATAGTTTTACCTTTGTTCTGTAATACATAGCAATAACTCTCATAATAGAAATGGTCACTAGAAAAGACTGATACTTGAATGTTCATAACATCAAGAGTTCATTTTTCCCTGTTAGTTTACCTTCTTTTTTGTTTTGTTTTGTTTTGTTTTTCGAGACAGGGTTTCTCTGTGGTTTTGGAGCCTGTCCTGGAACTAGCTCTTGTAGACCAGGCTGGCCTCGAACTCACAGAGATCCGCCTGCCTCTGCCTCCTGAGTGCTGGGATTAAAGGCATGCACCACCACTGCCTGGTTAGTTCACCTTTTTTAAAGCTATGTCTAGGAGTATTACTGTATATGTGGAAATAATCTTTTAATCTGTCTGGTCAGTTACAATAGACTAAGAGGACTTTTATCTTCTTTAAACTTAATACTAAGTAGATTAAAGCAATATGTATAAAAGCAATATGATTACAACATTCTTTTCAACTCTTCAAAGTATGAAAGTATAGTTTTTCAGAAGAGAAAGCATTTTGTGAGTCTGTTTAAACCATTTTTTTCTAACACTTGGTTTTAGACTGACAATCAGCCCTCAACTTCTCAGGAGGTTAGAAGAGAAGGTCATCATTATGGAAGAGGTAGCAAAAGACCTCAAGATGACAGGTCAGAGGGCTCTCAGCATTCTCGGTCTTCACCTACAACTTCGAGTGCCAGCGCAAAAAGAAGAATTATTCAAAGCCCATCTGCTAATCCGTAAGTCATTGGCTATATGGACATATATGCCTTCATTTTCACATGGAGTTCGCTACCGCACCTGACAGTCTCCTTTTCCACGTTTAAAAATTATATTTACTTTATTTTCTTCGTATGAGTGTTTTACCTGCATACATGTAGGTATGTGTACCACTTGCTTGCCCGCTGCTCATGGAGGCCAGATCCCCGAGAACTGGAGTTTCAGATAAATTTGAGGCACTGTATGGGAACTGGGAACCAAACCCAGTTCCTCTGCAAGAACAAGAGCTCTAAACTACCTAGCCACCTCTGCACCCCCTAAATTTCCTTTCTCTATAAGGACACCATTCATACTGCATCGGGGAAACACTCTGGTCTGGTATAAATTCATCTTTTCTTTACATAATATCTCATTATGTAGGCCAGACTGGCCTGGAAGCTCTTCCTTTATTTAGCCTCCCATGTGCTGGAATCACAGCCATGAAGTGCTGTGCAAGGCTATGATCTCACCTTAATGAATCACATCTCTAATCACTCTGTTTCCAAATTCGGTCTCGTTGTGATGTACTGAGTTAGAGCTTCCATCATATGACTACAGCAGATTCAGCGTTCAGAACTCTGCCCATCTCTCTCTCTCTGAATCCATGAACTTCACACACGAAAGCACTCACTCTATCACAGTAACCCTTCAAAGCCTTAACCTCCGCTCTTTCTGCTGTTGTTGTTGCTTTGTTTTGTTTTTGTTTTCCAAGACAGAGTTTCTCTGTGTAGCTTCAGAGCCTGTCTGCGAACTCACTTTGACCAGGCTGGCTGGCCTCGAACTCACAGAGATCCTCCAGGCTTTGCCTCCAGCGTGTTGGGATTAAAAGCAATGAGGATGCATGAGCTGGCTTTTTGCAGCACATTCCCTATGGTGGGATACCTTGCTTAGCCTTGATACGGGGGAGGGGCTTGGTCCTGCCTCAACTTGGTATATCAGACTTTGTTGACTCCCCACAGGAGGCCTTACCCTTTCTGAGGAGCAGGTGTGGGCAAGAGAAAGGAAGGGAGGGGGAACTAGGATTGGTATGTAAAATGAAAAAAAAAAGAAAAGAAAGAAAAAACTCAGAAAAACAATAACTAAATTAAACTAAAAATTCTGAACCCACACCTTCCTCAACTCTAGTTCCCAGTCTCAATGTAAAGAAAATCCAGGTGGGTCATCCTGGTGAAAATTCTCCAACAATTGACTGCGGAAAAGAGGCAAGGTATCCATCCATGCAGATGACAGTGGTGTGGCCGGACTCGCACAAACGCTCCCCTTCCGAAAAAGAGAAACTAGAACGGAAGGTGGAATTATGAGATCAAAACCACTCTAAAACTTAGTGTAGCAAATTCCATTTGATTCTCAAGAAATTCAGACATATTGTGGGGATCAATACTGTGTCTTCCAGGCCTCTACGGTAGCTTCAGTCACTCAGCCCTACATGGTTGCACCACACTTTGGGACCAATGAGGTGATACCCCCTTTTCAGGATCATTCTTGCCCTTTCTTCTTTTTATAAGCATCTACTTATTTGTTTTACTGTTTTAAAATTATAATTATAATACAAAGTAATGGATTTCATGGTGGTATTTTTATATATACTGTGTTCTATTAGTTCTTGTTTGATACATATTTTGATCATATTCACACCCCTCCCCCAACTCTTCCCAGATTCACTCCTTTATGTCTCTAGCCATCCATTTTGTGTCCTTTAACAACTCAAATGTGAAATTGGGAAGATGGGATTGGCCTGTCGGTGTGGCTCTGAGACACTGTCTTCATTGCTAGTCCATGTAGGAGTCCCCAACTCACTGTGTGGGGATACAGTTCCCTGGGGCACCTGGGCCTGGGCTCTATAAGAATGCCAGTAATCACGAGGCTGTGAGAAACCGAGAAGCAGAGTTCTTCCGCAGCCTCTGCTTCAAGTCCCTGCTCTGCCTGAGTGTCCTCTCTGATTGCTCTTAATGACGGACTGTGACCTTGAAGTAGAAACAGAAATAAACCTTTTCCTTCCCCCCCCAAAAAAAATCCTTCAAGACAATTTTCTGCTGCCCAAATATTCTTGGACATGTGGTCTTCCACTGAAAATTGGTTAGCATAATCAGGGCTACACTCTTAGAGACTGTCTCTCCTTCTTCCATCATCTGACAATTGTCAATAGCCCTACAGATAGGATTAGGGTTGTGTATGCAACTCCCCTCTCAATACTGGGATTTGGTATGATTTGGGAATGCACATATTTTGTACATGCAGCTGCAGCCAGAATGAGATCATATGTTCAGGTGCCTTGGTATGTCCAGAAGATGTGGCTTCCTTGTAGCCATCTACTGCCTCTGGCTCATGAAGCTCCTCCCATCCTTCTGCAATGATCCTGGAGCCTTGGGAGAGGCTGTGTTATGTGTTCCATATCCATTTAGCAGTATAACAGTACTTGGTTCTCCCCTAGGACCTATTCCTGTCTATCAATATCTTCATAACCATTTGGGGGAGCAGGGCTTAAATCTATAAGAAACTGATTAGAAGCTGGGCATGGTAGTTCACATGTTTAATCCTAACAGTCAGGAGGAGAGGCAAATGGATTTCTGTGACTCGAAGTCTAGTCTGGTCTACACCACAAGTTCCAGGCCAGCCAAGGCAACATAAAGTGACTCTGTCTCAAAATGCCAATAACAATACAAAAAGTTGGTTTTTCCCATGATTTTAATGCCACTTTGTGTCTGTTGGCAGGCCTTAACTGGCTTCCTCTCCCTTCTCTTGGTTCCTGTCATATCCCTATAACCCCTCTTTTTCTTTCATGTCACATGTTTTCTTTCACCTCTTTTGTTCTTTTCCTCTCCCTTAAGATCTTTCCCCCTTCTTACCGACACATTTATATAATTCTGTAACCTGTACCACACACACACACACACACACACACACACACACACACACTAAAATCTGGGAACTGCGTGTAAAAGAGAAAATGTATTTGCCTTTCTGAGTCTAGCCTATTTCACTTAATGTAATACTTTGTAGTTTCATCCATTTTTCTATAACAATTTCATTATTTCACTCTTCGTTACAGCTGAAGAAATTTCATAATTCATATTTCATCAGCTGATGAAAATATGATCTGATTCCATTTCCTAGCTGTTGTGAACAGTGACACAGTAAACATATATATGCAGATATCTTGGTGACGGGATATAGAGTCCTTTGGGTATATGTGCAGAATGGTATAGCTCAGGTATAACATTTGTGTTTTGAGTTGTGACTATCCTCCACTCTGCTTTCTATAGTGGTTCCACCAGTTTACATGCTCCTCAGCAGTTTATAAGTTAATAAGGATCACTCTCTTCCCCTCACATCCTCACCAACATTTGCTGCCATTTGTTTGCTTAATGGTAGCCATTCTGAGTAGGATGACATTTCACCTCAAAGTAGTTTTAAATTCTCCTATGGCTAAGGATGTTTAACCACTCTTAAAATATTTATTGTCCATTTGCATTTCTTTTTTGGAAAACTATTTTATTGATAAAAAGTTTTGGATTCAGGTGATAAATTTTTACAGTTCTTTATATATTCTGGATATTGAGCCCCTGTACGAACTATACAAGACAAAGATTTTCTCCTGTTCTGTAGGCTGGCTCTTTATTCAGAGTTTCTTTTGTTATTCAGAATACTTTTAAGCTCATGTATTCCCACTTGGCAGTCCTTTGGATTATTTCCTGTGCTACCGGAATCCTTTGTAGAAAGTTTTTTTCTCTTTTATAGCTTATTTCCTGCCTGCAGAATCCCAGAAGTCTGATATCTTTTCTTCATTTCATTCTGTCTGTATTTCCTCTGGTTTTTTTAAACACGCAAACCTTCTATTTTGATGGTTGATTGGATCTCTGATCATAAGTGTAATCTTTTAAAGTTAATTTCTAATTTTATTACATATATTTATGTACTGTGTGTACTTGTGTATGTGTACACATGCCATGGTGTACACATGGAGGTCAGAAGAGAACCTTCAAGAGTTCTTTTTTTCCCTTCTGCCATGTTGGTCTTGGGGATCAAGCTCAGGTCATCAATATTGGTGGCAATCATCTTTATCTGCTGAGCCATCTCTCCAACCACATATTAATTTTAATTAGCGTACAAAATAATGGACTTCATACAATATTTTTTTATTAAATGTTTCATTTATTTTACTACTGACCACAGTTTCCCCTCCCCCTTCTCCTCCCACTACCTTCCCCCATCTTCCATCTACCCTTCCATCTGCTCCTCCTTTCATCACCATTCCAAAAGGGACAGGCTCCCATGGGAGTCAACAAAGCATAGCACATCAAGTTGAGGCAGGACCAAGCTCCTTCCCCTACATCAAGGCTGGGCAAGGCAAAGCTGCACAAGGAATAGGTTCCCAAAAACCAGTTCAAGGCCAGGGACAGGTCCTGATCCCACTGCTAAGAGCCACACAAGCAGACCAAGCTACACAACTGTCACATACATGCAGAGGGCCTAGTTCATCCCATGCAGGCTCCCTTCCTGACATTTCAGAGTCTGTGAGCTCCCATTAGTTCAGGTCATCTGTCTCTGTGGGTTCTGCTGTCATGACTTTGACCCCCCCCCCCGCTAGTACAATCCTCCCCCATGGCTAGTACAATTCTTCCTCCCTCTTTTCAAGAGGACTCCAGGAGCTCGGCCCAGGGCTTGGCTGTGGATGTGTGCATCTGCTTCCATTGTTACTGGATGAAGGCTCTCTGTCGACAATTAGGACAGTCACCAATCTGATTACAGTAGATGGCCAGTTCAGACACCCTTTCTAACTGCTAAGAGTCTTTTTGTTTTTGTTGTTTTGTTTTGGTTTGGTTTGATTTTTTGTTGTTGGGTTTTTTTGTTTTGTTTTGTTTTTTTCTTGTTGTTGTTGTTGTTTTCGGGACAGGGTTTCTCTGTAGCTTTGGAGCCTGTCCCGGAACTAGCTCTTGTAGACCAGGCTGGCCTCTAACTCACAAAGATCCGCCTGCCTCTG